AAGCTTATTGGACAGTTCAAACAAATCCTCTACCAATCACATGAGTCATTCAAGCATTTAACCATAAAGGGACAAAGCATTTATCAGCATACAGCAATCAGTATTTTACCAAATGTGGGGAGGGGTAAGTGGGAAGGCGTACATCAACAATTAACCCTATGCAATCTTTAACTTAACAATCTCTAGGGGCAAGCAGGACAAGGAAATACCACCGGCCTCCTGCTCCAGATCCCGTGACCCTGTGGTTAGCACAAAGGGCTATTTTTTCTGTAAGATTTCCTGTTTGCCCAGGGGCTAAACCTGCCAAAAGTCACGTACGTAGTCTAGTGGGATTTTTCCACCGAGGCAAAGGCTAAGGTTGAGGGCAGCCATCTTGTGCAGACCCAAGCAGTCTCTCACATAAGACCAAAAGTCTCGTACCATCAGCACCATTAGCCCAGGTAGAACCTAGGGCTGCAGGAACGGAGAGGGCAGTATAAGACCAAAAGTCTCACTGCAGCACAGGAGAATACACAGCATCCCTGCGCTGGGTGCCGATATCAGCAAGAACTAGGAGGAGTCCTCATGAAAGGGAAAAGCAGCTTGGAACCAAAGTCTGCACTTGGAATTAGCACTTGGAAGTAGCTTTTACCTACAAGTGGCAAGTAAAAGGATCAGCTGACATGGGTTAAAGTAAATTGTAGAGATTCGGAGAAATGATGCTTGTTTGCATGCTGCAGCTGACCATGCTGACTGTCACACCTGTGTGACTGTAAAATGACTATGATTCCATTCGGAAAAATGGATGAGTATGCGTGGAAGGGCGAAAATACACAAAATCTCTGAAGTAAAATATAAAAATGGTGAGTGTTTAAATTTTTAAAAGTCATTACAGTAAAAGATATATTGCTGTTAGCCCCCCTCAAAACAGTCCCTTCACTTCAAACTTGCTTTTCCTGTAGTCTCTGCTACCTTCTGAAGCAGCTCTGGAAGTCCTCTTTTATGAGTGTCATTAGCTGCGGTGTCACAGCTGCCCCAATGTTCTTAATTAATTCAAAATATTTCCCTTTTATGATCATTTTGACTTTGGGGAAGAGCCAAATGTCAGTGGTGCTAGATTCAGTGAGTAAGGTAAATGAGGAGGACACACTGTAAAATTTTTATAAACCTGCCTTTCCCTTGGATAGCATGCACCAGCTGCATTCACAGTATTTTTGATCCTGTCTACAAAGACACGAAAGAGAACTTCCAGAATGATTTGTATAACAAAATGTTGAAAGGGGTAAGGCAACTGGTGAGTTTTCATCTTTATATTTCTGTTGCATGCATTTGAGAAAGAAATTTGTACTACTTTTATTATCAAGCAAAGAGATACTTTCCTTGCGGGGAAAGGAAAAGAAATCTTGTCGGAGAACAAGGCAGAACTGCACTCAGTGTTGTGTCACAAGCCTGAATTCACTCAGGCAGACTTCCCGCTGCCCCACTCTTGCAGCAAAGCTGTGCTAGTAGGAATACCTTATTGAATAATTTTTTCTCTTTTCTTTTACAGTGCTGGTGATTAAACTAAAGACTTATGCAGATTAGGCAAATACTCTACTGCTGAGCTACAACCCCAACCCTTTTTTCTCTTGAGCTATGGACTTGTTAAATTATCCAGGCTACCCCTTGAACTGGCCATCCTCCTGCCTCCACCTTCCCTCCTGAGTAGCTGGGGTTATAGTGCTGCTGTGCCTGGTCATACTGATAAATTTTTCTTTAAGTACTGTGTATCAAATGAAGTTTCATATATATTTGTCTGTCTTTCTCAAGTACACCCCAAAGTCTACAGTTTTCTTTGCCGTGATTCCCTAACATTGCTACCCTGACTCTGCCCAGAGCATGCATATGATATCTGTTGTTGGCTGGCATTGCTCAAGGTTCTTAAATACTTAAATACATTTTTATACTTAATAGCCATTCCAAAATGTTGAATTGTTTATTTAAACAAAAACACTCTGATTCTCTCAGTTGGGCATATAGGCCCCTAAAAGAATATAATAGATGGTAGATGTAAGCTGCTTCCTCTAGTTTTGCTCTACTTCCTTTTAATGGTGCCTTTACTTGATCTTTTGCTCTTTGTTATGGGTGATATCTGGATGCCCCCCCACTCCCACCCCCGCAAAGCCTCCTGTGCTCAAAGGTGGGGCTTTTGAACTGTGATGGAATTATGGGGCTTATTGTTGATTTGCTCTTAAGAGAGGAGGTCTGGTCAGCTGAGGTGGGTTACTATGGGCGTGACCCAAAAAGTTTTGTCTCCCCCCCCAGTTCCTCCCTTGACTCTCTATCTGCTTCCTGGCTGTCATGAAGTAAGCAGTTTCTCTCTGCCGTGCCTTCCTGGCTTGGAGCCATCCAACTACAGGCTGAAATCTCTACAAACTCTGAGCCAAAATAAATTTCTACTTCTTTAAATCTGGGTGCTGGGGGTTGTATTTCAGTGACAATGAGAGTAACAAAGATACCTTCTTAATTATTCCCATGCTGCATGTTTTAAAATATTTTCTTCTCAACCAATAGATTTTCAGCCAACAACCTTTACTGGTTCATGAACATACCCTGATAATGAGCCCATGCAGGAGACAAGCCCCCACAGATGGAACTGAGGGACCAGGGTTCATAGAATAACATAGACATCCTATTCCCAAACTCTCAGACATTGACTCTCAATACCTACACCCCACACACACACACACACACAAACACACACATTTTCAAATAAGTAGCTTTTTTTCATTCCAGATTTAGAACAATTCTTTTGGGAAAAGATAACTTGCATTCCTCTTACTCGTCTTGGACCTGGTTGAGTTGATTACGGGTTGAGTTCAAGTCGGAGTTTAATTGTTGTAAGTCTTGATCCCGAAGACTCTGCTCTTTATGTCTCTCTCTATCAAATGTGTCCTAGAAAGACCCGTAAATCAAAAAATAGTCTGAATACATGAAATGACATGGGTGGATTGAAAAACACTGCTCTGAGCAAAAGAAGTCAGACACAAAAGAGCACATCATGTATGATTCCATTTTCATGGAGCTCAAAATTAATCTAGAATGACAGGAACCAGAAGAGTAGTTGCCCCAAGGGTGGCACAAGCAGTGCTCTGGAGTGATCGAAGTGTTTATCTCTCAGTAAGGGTATGACTTGCATGGACATATGCATTTGTCAAAACTCATCAATCAGTGGATTTTACTATATATAGATTATAACTTGACTTTTAAAGAATCATCCTACATCCCTCTACCTAGAATGACACCCACAATGAGTGAAAATCTGAAAAATATCCAAAAATCCTCTAGGTAAAATAGTGTTTAACGACAACTGGCACCTATGGAGTACCAACCATGTGCCTCTGCAAGTAATTTTGCATTCTTCTCATATTCTCACAATGGTCCTGTTATTAGGTCAGCAAAATCACTGTCCCTGTTTAGCCAATAAGGAAACTGAGATATGAAAGGTTAGAGGCCTACCCAGTGCCTTGGGAGAGGAACTGGTTTTCTGCTCAGGGATCTCCAATCAGGAACCCTTTGACAGCTATGTTGTAATACCTTCTTTCTTTCCTACACTTAATGCTTCAGTGTTAGAAAAGAATTAATTTAAAAGTAAAGTTAGTGAACCCAGGTGTGGGGGCACATGTGCATAATCCCAACACTCAGGAGGATGACTGCATTTAAGGCCAACCTGGACTACATAGTGAGTTTAAGGCCAGCCTAAAATACATAGTGAGACCCTGTGTCCAAAAACAAATGAAAGAAAGAATAGCAGAAATAAAGTTACTGATTGCTATTGTGTGGACATGGTTTGAGTGCGTCTCTTGGGGTTTATGTGTTGGGAGCTTGGTCCCTAGATGTGGATAGGTGAGAGTTGATGTGGAACCTTTAAGAGGTGAGCCTAACAGGAAATAAGTCACTGAAAGCGCTGCCCTAGAAAGGTATGAATGCAGTTCTTATGGGATTCTGCTTAGTATTTGAGGGAGAGTTGCTATAAAAGAGCAAGCCTGGTTCCTTGCATGTTGGCTTTGTCTCTTACCATATGATCTCTCCCACCACTGTGGTCTACCACTGGGATACTATTCACCAAGAGATCCCCACTAGAGCTAGTACTGTGAAGTTTGGACTTTCATCTCCAAAACTGTCAGCAAAATAAACCTCTGTATAAATTACCCAGCCTCGATATTTTATTGCGACAACTGAAAAAGCCTAATACACAGCTGCTTTGTTTACCCCGACGCCATGATGCTGATACTTTAAGTGAGATATATATAGTGTCTTTCTAGTCTGGCCTCCAATTGTTTGATGTTGGTGCTGTCCCGTAGAAACCATGAATATCAATCCCAAACTGTGACACTCTACACTTTCTTCTTTTCTTAGAAGTTCTGGTTTTATTACATTTCTCTGAAAAGCCAGATGCATTAGCCTCCTACCTGTAGAGAGGGGACCTTGCTATCAACAGGTCTTCCCAGGGAAGCAGCTGTAAAAGAAGCTTCTAGCCAAGGCAAAAGGCGTGACTTGATTGTTTCCACACCATCGTTACGTCCTCCTAAGAGAGTGCACATGCCCAATTAGTAAGAGAAACATAGCTGTGCCAGCTCAGTCAGAGGACCCAAGAAAGCACCAAGAAAAGAGAGGCCAGGAGGTGGGGTGGGATGGGGAAGCACAGGCTACTCTCACCTTCTTGAGCTGTTGTAGTGAGGATCCCAAAGAGTTGTCCCTGCACTTTGGCAACTTGCTCAATGAGTTCCAGGCAGTTATTTAGATTTTGATCACATGAGTTTGTCTGTAACACCAAAACAGCAGCTATCAGTGAGATTCCCTCACTCTGTGACAGACACATAAAGGCCTGCTTGATCTGGGGGCTGCCTGGCTCTCATGTGCTCACTGTAATACAACCTCTGGGTAGCCACCAAAGCCTATTCCCTGTTCATCCTGGACAAACAGCTAAGCCACTTGCCCCAGAGTCCTTTGCCATTTTTGTGACCATGGGATTGAGCTCATTAATTGTATGGGAAGTGATGTGTGCCATGTCCAGACCTGGCCAATAAGAAACCCTCCTGAGAAATTCTTTTTCTCTCTTTCCTTTCTCATCTGCCTAAAAAATGCAAAGGAGCCACCAGCAGATCCCAAGGGCACAAGAGATGATGGAGCCACAAGATTTGTAAGGCTATTTATCCAATACTTGCATTGACCTGCTACATGGTTGAGAAAGTTAACTAGAATGTGTTATGCTTCTAAGATTTGGGCTTTATTTTTATAGCAATAATCCTGGGGGTGGAGCTCTGCAAAAAATTTATAAAGTATCCAAACCTTTTGTGACACAATTGATACCTAATTTATCTACTTTATTGGTTTTCATCCTCTAAATAAATTCAATTTTTACTCTACCTTCAAAGGTAACACAACTTCTTTGAAAGTATTGCTGGGTTGAGGGTGCAATGGAGAATAAGATAAAAGGATGGCACATGCTGACTGAGGGGGTAGACAGGATCGTGGATAGCTACTCCCGATAGTGAAACTTAGGGAAGTACTTGCATGTGCTGCCAAAACAAGCACAACATTGGGAAATATTTGGAAGTCCACCATCTTCGAAAGTTTCCAAAAGGAAATAAAATCTAGCCCAAGAAGAACTTGGGTAGAATTCACAAAGCACTGGGTCCAGTTCATGTTGAACAATTTTCTGAGAACAGAACATGAGAGGTTGAAAAACAGGCATTTTAGCTATTTCTGCTTTTATCGTTCCTTGGTAAGATTTCACCATTTCATCATTAGTCAAACTTCTAATTGATTCCAACTTACAAAAAGAAAGACAACAGCTTGTGAGTGTAGCCCAGTGGTAGACACTTGCCTTCTATGCTCAAGACCATGCCCCATAACATCACACACACACACACACAGAGAGAAAGAGAGAGAGAGAGAGAGAGAGAGAGAAATATTAACTACATACAACAAATAAATCACATGGGTATAAACATGCATACATTTATGTGTCACTTCAAGTCATAATATGGCATTAACCATCTGTGTCCCCTGGGTACCATAAACCCCAGAACAGGAAGTAGAATACAAGGAGGACAGTAACTAGAATGAAGAGATACCATTGAGATACCCTCCAGATAAAAGTGCACAAGTAAAATGTGCATCTGTATCAATAAGAGAAATGTTTTAGACAGGCAGAAATTCCTTAGGAAAGAAATCTTGAGGTCCTGCTCCTTGTAGTCCCAACCTTGCATTATTTAGTATTCACAGTCAATATGTATTGAATTGCTGAATGAAAATGAGATGATTTGCTCTCTTTGTTTTATGACACACTTCCCATATGCCAGGTGCTATTAGTGTCTTACATGGATAAGCCCAGTTAATCCTTTCAGTAGTACATTATGACATAGAAGCACTAGTATTTTCCTTTCCATTTTCAAATGAGAACACTAAGGCACAAAAAGGTTAAGAAATCTGCCCCAAAATATCCGGCTGATAAACTGTCAGAGCTGAGATTAGGACCCAAGCAGCCTCGTTCCAAAATCTGTGTTCTTGATTACCAATTTATACTGACTTTTCCACTGTGATTGGAGTTAGCAGCAGAAGGAGGACTGAAGGATGTCACATAGAGAGTGGGAAGGGCAATCAAAGACAGGCTGTCAGAGGAGAGGATGCATGAGCCAATTCCTGGATGATTTGAGGATGCCTAGAGCAAGGGAAAGAGCAAGACAGGCAGTGGGAACAGCAAGGGCAAAGGCCTGCAGGCCATCAGGAACAAGTGAGCAACCTTGAGGACTAAATGTAGGTCAATGTGGCAGGAGCACAGGAGGGCAGAGAGGCTGATGGATCCTGGAGGGCCCTCAGGATGATGGGTAATCTAGATGAGTGGCCTCGTAACTGAAAGGGCAGTTGGTTTATTTTCCATGCTTGGTGAATAGCACCTGGTAAGTAGCTCAGGTTGTAGCCCCTGATTTTTTCCTCCATCTCATCATTTCATTGTCACCTCCCCTCAAAAATAAATTAAGTTTTTCCTTTTTTTTTTTTCTTTTTTGGTACCGGGGCTTGAACTTGGGTCCTTGCGCTTTCAAGGCAGGCCACTGAACCGCTGAGCTAAATCCCCAGCCCAAAATTGAGTTCTTTTAAAAATGATTCTTATTTTTCTCACATTTACATCTATTGTCACTAGAATCCTAGCAAATGGAAGGGCCCAAATGATGTTTATTGGATGAATGCTGGAACCTAATGGTGGCATGCTCAGAGCCTGAACAGCTACATCCATTCCTTCCTCACTGAGCCAGCAGCTCTTGTCTTGCCCTGACCACCATAGACCTCACCACACTGAACTTCAATTACCTGCTTGCAGGCCTTTTGCCCTCTCAGTAGGTCATGCCATGGCTGATTGATGGAGCATGACTCAAGCAGACCAGAGGGTCTTCACTGCCACTTGCCACAGTTCTGTGTTGATCCTGTACAAGTTACTTAACCTCTCTGAGCCCATTCCCTCTCCTATAAAATAAGGTAATAATGCCTTGCAGAGTGTTAGGAGAACTAAATCAAGTCCAGCACTTCAGAGATAGAACTGTTGGGTAATTGGCAGCTGTGGGGTGGAACACAGCAGAGAAAGGAGCCAGGGCTTAGGAATCAGGCAGATCTGGGCTCAGATCTCTTTCTCCTCTAATAGTTGCATTCCCTTAGGAAAGTCAGTGAAATAGAAGGCTCCATTCCTGGTATTTAGGAGGTTGCTGATCTCATAAGCCTAGCAAAGTGGAGATACATAATAATTAAAAGCAGGGCTGGGGATTTAGCTCAGTGGCACTGCACCTGCCTCGAAAGCACAAGGTCCTGAGATCAATCCCCAGTACCACACAAAAAATAAAAAATAATAATAATGATAATAAGCATTATGTAGTATCATGACTACCTGCTCTGATGCATAGCGGGGGCTAACTGGAATGTTTGTGTATAAAGCTTAAATAACAGTAGAGTATACTGTGGTGTTATTCCCTTTCCTAAGACCTGTCACAACATGCTGTATCTTCTCACCTAGAGCACTGCACAGGATACTCAAGTTACAGTGGAGTCACGTTATCCTACTAAGCACACACCCACAGGAGGTCAGCAGAACACAGCTATGAATTAAGTATACAGTCTCCAAAACACAGACTCTCAGATGGATTCATTCATAAATCATTGAGTTCCTGTTATATAGAAAGCCCTGGACTGGTAGCTTGTGTGATAAATGCACACTTTAAGAAAAAAAAAAGCTTCTTGATATCGATGAACAAGGGAAGTAGGATGGAGAATGCCAAACCCACAGGGAGTCAATAATCACCTAAGATTGTATTAAGTGCTCTGTGTGACTCATGAACTGTAGACAGAACAAATCAAGCTCGGGTGAGGGCTGAGGGTAAAAAAGACAATACAAGAGGGGGAACAGCAGATAGAGGACAAGAAGCAGAAGGCACATTAGAGGAAAGTGAGTTAGGGTCCAAAGACCAAGTTTGAGAGCCCTGATTTGCACAATGTGGATACTGGGCTTTTTCCTATTATCAAAAGATCTAAGGAGGCAAGTGAGGGAGAGAGGCATAATTTGGTCAGATTTGCTTTGCACTTCATAGAATTCCCTCTGCAGGAGCAGACTGCACAGAGTTCTCACCAGGGAGGGAGTCAGTGGGGAGGTAGGCAGGTGTAACCGTCTGGCTGCAAGATGCTCAATTCAGGCTATAAATATATCCAGGGTCCCCAACAGTCTTTCCCAGCTCCAAATCACTCAAATGTCAGGTGGGATCCCATTGATTCCAGCATTACCTAAGGGGAAGTAAAATGCATTCATTCCCATGGGTAAGCTTTAAAAACACAGCCCCAGAGGATAGAAGAGTCTTGCCTGTGTTGATAATCGCTGTGTGAGCAGGAGAGCCATGAAAATGATCCCTCAGAGAGCTATATCAAAGTGGGACTGGAAGTGGGCATGAAGGAAGGCAGAGAAATCAACAGGAATAAGCCATTGTTACAGGTGTGAAATTAAACAAGTAAATGCCAAAAGTATTCTAGTGGCTTCATGCAAGTGAGAAGTGAAAATAAAGCAGAATATACATAATGTAACCATCAGTGTTGTTAACATAAACATGTTCTGTGAAGGCTACTAACCTCTCTGCAACACCCCAAGGTTACTATCCTGCTTTGGGAGCTATGGTAGCTGTAAAAACATTGAATTTTGTTAGGGGCAGAATTCTCTGGATTGCATGGAATTATGATACCTGTGAGCTCCTTTCCTGAAACTGCAGGTAAGTTTGCAACATGGTTCTCTTGAGCTCTGCCCTAAACACATGCTAGAAACTGCTTTTCCCACACACATGAAACAATAGAAACTTGAATAAGAGCAGTGGCAGCTGGCGGAGAAGTTGGGAGGTGTTTGAAAGCTATTTACTACGCATGATCCTCTATGCCTCATGAGTCCATCTGTGAGGGGACGGAGGAGAAGGGCCCAGTTTCTGACTTGGGCTGCAGAGTGGATTGTGATGCCATTACCCACCCCAAGGCTATAAACATATCCAGGGTCCCCTAACAGTCTTTCCCAGCCCTGAAACACTCAAATGTCATGCTCAACAAGAGGATAGTCAGCAAGACTACAGAGAAGACGGTCCATTTGTTTGGTTCATGCTGGGCTAATAGGCCCTCTGAGCTATCAGGGAGTCAGGTAGCCACCCAGGTTGCTCCCTAGAGCAAAGCTCAACTTCATAGACTCAGGAGTCATCAGTACCTGGGAAATAGCTAAATCCATAAAATTAAGCAAGATGTGTCTAT